GCCTGACAGTGTGTTTTATCAACATCTGCTTGTAGCTGCATGTGACAGAATCATAGATTTAGAAGAGACCACATGAGTCATCTAGTCCAACTGCCTGCCATGCAGTAAAAGCACAATCAAATCACCCCTAACATATATGAAAAGGCCGGCTGCTCAGCAAGGAAGGTGGGCAGCTTACTCCACTCAGAGTTCTGCAAGAAGAAGCCTCACTTGTGGCACAACACAACCATAGATAGGCTTGTGATGTTTGGATTCCGATGCTTTTCAAACTGCCGCTGAATACACTGCTGAGAAGAGCCAGGGGTTCCCCTGCCTTCCTTGCAGATTGTGAGAGCCATCTGCTTCCCAGCTGATTTTGCAAGGATCCCTTGCACCCAGGTTCCACTAAAGTGACACAGTTCCCCTGGAACAGCTAGAAGGCAACCCCTGAACAGACCAGTCCTCGGCTGTGTCACCCTAATGTTTGGACAACCTTCCTCAGTAAACCACGACTTTTATGCATTTGTTTTATGGAAAGGACAGCTGCTCCATCTTCCCATCCTGAGAGCAACTCACTTAATGGCCTACAATTAACTCCATCAAAACAACACTGTCAGGCTCAGGGCTGCAGTGACATTCTGCTAGTGGCAAGTTAAAGGGAAACCAGCATCCAATAGACTCCAGTGAGCAACCCAGTTACACACACAGCTCCTGCACACTGTTTTTATGGCAGCCACTGTCTGCCTGCAGAGGCAAGAGCAAGTCAGAGAGACCATCCTTATGATCCCAAACCATCTTTATTCTGGAACAGCTGTTTTTAGACTCCATTACTGACTCCCATTACTGCTCAAAGACATGTGAGCACTAAAAATGCACCTGGTTGATGCTCCAGATAGTCTGCAACAGGGGCAGCTCTGGAGACAGGCCCAAGGAGAGCTTTCTATCAGAGGCTGTAGAGCGGCACTCCCATTCCCAGCCTTGATAGGGTCTTCGTCCCTTTAGATCCTCAGCTTCTTCCTGTGCTGCCTGCCAAGGCTGCATGGATTGCTCAGTGTGGAAGCCTGTGCCTTAATGCCACAAGAGGAGTGCAGTGAGCAAAAATGGGTTCGGTTTCTTTGAACTGGGAATGGAGATATTTTTGCCCAAAAATTCAGCTGGATTAAGGACCCCTGTCCACTTGGGCCACTTTCGAGAACCAGGAAGAGGTTGCAGCCTCCCTTCTCTCTCTGCAGGAAGGGGATCCTCCCTGGGGGTGCAGACATCCAGCTGAGGTGGCCATGCCCAGACACACCCTCCTTCACCCGCTCATGACACAGGCACACACTTCCACATTCCTTTGCGCTACTTTCGCTCCCCTCCCAGCCTCACATACAAACACGTGGCAAGGAAGTGTCTAGGCACACAGCAAGGGAGCAAAGGAGAGCCTGCAGAGGGTGAACAGCCAGGCACCTGCTCCCTGCCCAGCAGTTGTCAGTTTGTGCCATGCCCTGCTCCGTCCTGCAAATCAAGCCAAGGCTGCCCTATGGCTACACAGCAGCCCTGTCCAAGCCCTGCCAGCAGACCTCTCCCTGGTGTTTGGAGCCAGTGGCTTCCAGCAGAGTGCCTTCCTCTCCATCACTGCTCCTGATGAGAAAGCTGGCAAGCTGGCAGGCAGGCAGGCAGCGTGTGCTCTGCCAACAAACCTCTCGCGAGGAAACGGAGGATGACCTGTTTGGCTTGGGAATCTTAGCTGAGCTCACTCTGCATAATCAGTCACCTGCCCAATACACCAGACTGCTCTCTTTGCCCTTCCAAGACCCCCCGTAAGCGCATCCCTCCAATCCTCTGGAAATCATGGCAGTAATCCTGCAGCAGCTATGCACCACCCTGAACAAATAAGCAGAGCTTCCTTCCTCCAGGAATCTCTCCTGTCCCGGCATTCCAAGATATCATTGGCCCTAGGGTGTTACATCTTGTTTAAGCAACTAATTTCAGAACAGGACAAACTTTTTGCAGCTTCAATGGCGCTTGAGCCAGGCACATGTTGCGAAAGAGAACAATAACGGAACAGTCAGACTCCAGGGAGAGCCAGAGCAGGGGAAACCCACTGGGGGACCTTGAGCGAGTGACACTCTCTCAGAGGAAGGCAAAGACAATCCCTTCCCCCTCCAAAAGAACTTGAAGAACCACAACAAGCTACAGGTCTCTGCAATTCCATCTGGAAGCTTCCAAGGGTCCCCGTGTTATATGACTCTGAAAGAAGCTAGGGCTGTTGATGTCAGCTTCTGGAAATTGCACCTGGCTTGGTTTTGCTGGGAGCCTTTAACAAGTTCATTTTTTAAGCCAGCTCCACTGTCCGGTCAGTACCACAGGGACAAGCCTCTTTTGCCAATGGCCCTAGGAAGACTACTGCCTGCACTGTTGTTATTGTTATCAGTATTATATCCAGCTTTCCTGTTTTAAGGCAGACTTATAGTGCTATCAATGCTAAACACAATGTACAACTGAAACACGATATTAACATGAAACATAGAACTGCTAAAAATAAATAGGCAATACCATTCAAGCAATTACAACCTACTGATATACAGGCAGTCCAGAAGTTACTCCAGCCACACACACACACCTATTTATAATTTTAGGTTTGGGTGGCATTTGTAAGTCAGAAGTTTTTAACTCAGGGACTACCTGTAGGTGCATGTGTGTGATACACACATGACAGATAGAACTAGCATCATAAATTTGGAAGGGACCCCCAAAGGCCACCCAGTCTTTCCCCCTGACAATGACTCTTCCGGGAGTGGATTTCCCTTCCTTCCGAGGGGAAGAGTCCTCTCACTTCCTGTTGTCTCAGTCCCGTTTTAACTAGGAATAATTTATAAGTCAGATGTTTTAAACTCAGGCACTACCTGTATGTGCATGTGTGTGATACACACATATGACAGATAGAACTAGTATCATAAATTTGGAAGGGACCCCAGTCTTTCCCCCTGACAATAACTCATCCGGGAGTGGATTTCCCTTCCTTCCGAGGAGAAGATTCCTCTCACTTCCTGTTGTCTCAGCCGGGTTTTTAACTAGGAGTAATTTGTAAGTCAGATGCTTTTAACTCTGGGACTACCTGTATGTGCATGTGTGTGATACACACATATGACAGATAGATCTAGCATCATAAATTTGGGACCCCCAAAGACCACCCAGTCTTTCCCCCTGACAATAACTCTTCCAGGAGTGGATTTCCCTTCCTTCCGATTCCTCTCACTTCCTGTTGTCTCTGCCAGGTTTTGAACAAGGAGTTATTTGTAAGTCAGATGTTTGCATCTCAGGGACTACCATATGACAGATAGAACTAGTATCATAAATTTGGAAGGGACCCCCAAAGACCACCCAGTCTTTCCCCCTGACGATGACTCTTCCGAGAGTGGATTTCCCTTCCTTCCGATTCCTCTCACTTCCTGTTGTCTCGGCCAGGTTTTTAAGTAGGAGTCATTTGTAAGTCGGGTGTTTGCAACTCAGGGACTACCATATGACAGATAGAACTAGTATCCTAAATTTGGAAGGGACTCCCAAAGTCTTTCCCCCTGATGATGACTCTTCCGGGAGTGGATTTCCCTTCCTTCCGAGGGGAAGATTGCTCTCACTTCTTGTTTATTTATTTATTTATTTGCTTTATTTCTATACCGCATTTTTCAGCCCAAACAGGCGACTCAATGCGGTTGTCTCGGCCAGGTTTTTAAGTAGGAGTCATTTGTAAGTCGGATGTTTGCAACTCAGGGACTACCATATGACAGATAGAACTAGTACCATAAATTTGGAAGGGAGTCTTTCCCCCTGATGATGACTTTTCCCTTCCTT